AGTAAAAACTGAAAAAAAAAATTAAAAGGTTCATAAATATTCGTGTAATTTTGAATAAAATTGTAGAAAAGCCTTAGGTTGAGCAAAAAAAAAAAAAGGAAACAAAGAAAATTGAGGGAAAATTGAATTTTTTAGCAGGTAAGAAGTACAGATTTTTATCAGCATCCATTTTCATAGAAAAGACGGATTTCTAGAAATTTGATCGGCAGCACTGTGGGTATGGTTATTTTCAATAATAAATTGAAAAAAAAAATAATGGAAATGTTCTACTTCTATTTTCAGGTGGTATGGTTTACAGCTCTATTTCCTTACTTAATTATTGCAATCCTGCTAGTGAGAGCTGTAACTCTGGATGGAGCTTGGAATGGATTACTGTATTTAATATCGACTGATTTCACTAAATTAAAATCAGCTCAGACTTGGATTGATGGTATCACTCAGATATTTTTTGGCTACAGCTTAGGTATAGGCACGTTACCAGCTCTTGGATCATACAATCGTTTTGAACATAACAGTTTTAAGTGAGTCCAAAAAATTTACAAATATCAACTGATGAGGAATTGGTAGTAAATCAAGCCTATATTTTTCTTTGCAGAGACTCTGTGATGACTTGCATAGTAAATACAATCACTTGTATTTTAGCCAGTGTTATTACATTTAGCATTTTGGGATTCATGGCATTCACTCAGAACACTGATGTAGATAAAGTAGTCCAAAGTGGGCCTGGATTAGTTTTCATCACATATCCAGAAGTGGTTTTGAAGCTACCTGCTGCCCCAATTTGGGCAGCTTTATTCTTCTTCATGTTGGCGGTAAGAAAGAATTACAGTGTAAAAATATGATTAAGGCTACGGCCATACTTCTCCGCAAACTGTGATTAAAATCAAACACACAAGAACAGATGCGCGTGGCCATACTCATCGCCTGTGTGATGTGCAATCTGCAACAACGCTTGTCTCTCAGGACGGGCGACAAAATTTTTGATTTTCTCGCACGCGACCAAGCATTTCCAGCAGCGAGAATGCGGGGAATTGATAAGAATCTCGCTCGTCGAGTATGGCCATGCAACCCTCTTTTCGTCTTCGCGACATACCTTTTCTCTTTTCGCAGATTGCAGTTTGCGGAGAAGTATGGCCGTAGCCTTGCATAATAAAAATCACTCAGTTAGGGAAATTTGTGCGTCCACAAGCCTGGGACCAGTGGGTCCCAGAGGCAGGTGAAAGTTGGTTTAGAGTCCGGGATCAGTAGGTCCCAGAGTTGGGGACGAGATGATTCCAGAATAATGAGGGACCAGAAAGTCCTCGAGTCTGGGACCAGTGGGTCCCTGAGTCACTGTCGCCATTGTGGCATCATGGTATCTGGCTTGGCCTGCCAACCTGATGGTTGTGGGTTCAAGTCCGGTAGCCAGGCAAAACAATGGCGGCAGTGTTCCCATAGCTCATGTTATGTGGCTCCCTCTCTCGGAGATTTGCTACACAATATGGAGCTGCGTCCACCGCCACACCTCAGCGTGCAACAAACCCTCAAGTTCATCCAGGCTGGCGACGGGTGGTCTATAAACTGATTAGGCACACAGACCCCCGCCGCCACAATAGCCAACCACCAAAAAAAAAAGGGTCCCTGAGTCAGGAGAAAGTTGAATTCAGCATCAGGGTCGAGTTGGTCCCAGGTCAGAGCTGAGTAACTCCATGGTTATGGGAATATTTTGGTTACCATGGCAACCAATAGCTTGGTTTCCATAGCAACAAAGGGAAATATTTGATATTATGTTTACCATAGCCATCATAAAGATACTTTGATTTTATGAATGGAGGCGGAGGATTGGGAGCTGCGTATTTGTCTAGTTTCTACAATAAGAGGAATGTTTTACACATTAAATATGCAGGGACGCAATACCCACACCACCTTTTTTTTTAATGTGTAAACATTCTGCTGAGGGGGTAAAACAAAATCCGCACCTAAAATTAGTCAAAAATTTTAGTACGCAAAATTAGTACGCAGAATTAGTACGGGAAATTAGTACGCC